TCCATGAATCCCTGAAGAGCTTTCTCTTCTTTTAAAAAGGTTGATGGGGGACAGAAGAGCATAGTAATATGCATGACAAATTATATTCTTTGTCATACATTAGGGCCTGTGGCAACCAATATGTCAGCATTAAGTATTAAAGCTATCTACACCTCAGAACACCTTCATCACGCTGATCTATGCTGTTTGTATATATTCAGTTGCCCCCAGGTGAGAATCTCTGACTGTGTCCTTGTTTTAATAGTTACATAATTTAAGTAAATAATACATTTACAGCCAACAGTAATACATTTACAGCCAAATAATAAATTACATTTACAGCCAACAGTACCAAGGCCTTCCTTAGTCTTTAGCTGAGCTATTAATACAACACAGTCCATTGTATTGAGCTCACATTGCTCACACTTCAGTCCTAAATGCACAGATCTAGACACTGCATACATGTTTAGGAAAACTAGGCATTTAACAGTGAAAGAAACATACTGATGGGAACCTTTGCAACAAGAGGTCTAGGGCATGCTAGGAAGTCCAGGGTCTGCAGGGTTCACAGCTATCACACAGAGCTCGTTCTGTATCCTCCAGAAAATCATCCCCTTGGAATCTGGTACCTAGAGACACACATGTTGCAATTATACAACTCTCTAATCACTTTTTAAAAGTGTTCCCAAGTGGTCACTAATATGATTTTTTTTTTATTGCTTTTGGACTGAGATAAACCAAGAAGAAATTTCAGCTCACAGACTGCTGGAGAAAAATATAAATTTCAAGGGTTCAGAAATCCACTTCACTAGGTCTACTTCACTTCTCCAGTGGTCTGCTCCATTTTTATCTCTCTCTCCCAAAGGAGGAGATGGAATTTTGATACCTGTAACAATAAGAAAAATGCATAATTTGCTTTCCACTAGATTAGGGTCCATGGTTTAGTCATTCATGCCAGGGAAAAATATCTTCATGTCTTGCTCCACTGACTACGGTGGGATTTTCCACGATGTAATGAACTCAACAGAGTGGCCAGGCCTTCCTCAATCTAAGCTTCAAGCAAGGTTAAAGTTCCTGACCTGGACTGAGGCCCAGCCTGTCCCTGAGCAGTGATGGGCAGCCCCCCCCAGGCAACTCCCCCCAGTCTGTACACTGAGCGTGATGGTCTGTGCTAAAAGAATATCCTTTTGCCCAGTTCAGGTCAGCTGGCCTGGCCATGCTTCCTCCCAACTTCTTGTGCACCTGCTCACTGGCAGAGCATGGGAAACTCAAAAGTCCTTTAGTAAGAGAAAGCACTACTTAGCAACAACTAAATCATCAGTGTGCTGTCAACATCGTTCTACAAAATCCAAAACACAGCATTGTACTACCTACTAAGAAGAAAATTAACTCCATCCCAGCTGAAATCACAACAATAGTGTGACTGATTACAACTTAATTAATATGAAATTCCAACATTTTGAATGTGAGAGAGGAAAGCATCCAAGAAAGAACCAAAATATTAACAGAAAAAGAAAAGCAATAGTCTTGTTAGTCAGATGCTGGTCCTGACAGGAACACTCCCATGTGTTATACAAGCTGTGCTAAGCATGGATCATATGGTTTCTATCTGATGGATACAACAAAATCAGTCACTTATTTAATTCAGTTCTGGTCTAAGTCAGGAAAAAGCAGTCAAATCTAGGTAGGGAGAAATATAAAATATAGATTCTTGAAATTAGGCACCCAAATCCATAGGTGTGACTTTCAGAGGTGCTGAGTGTTCTGGCCTCCCATTGTTGCTTGTGGGTAAAAAGCCCCTTAAGTAACTTTTATGAGACACCTGTCTCAGAGGATCTACACAGAAGAAAATCAAATTAGCACAGTACAGTCAGAATTCATTGCCTCCAAGTTGTGTGCATGTGTTATATTTGTGTGTATAAATATATGTATGTATGTATAGCAAGAAGTCAAGGAGGGTAACTTGTATTTTTAGGTTTATTCATGGTCACAACATGAATAAAAAGTCTTTTTCTAAAGACTCTTTCTTTGCCACCTACTTCCCTTCATCATTTCAAATATTGAAACATTTTAATTCTTGCACTTATTCTAAAAATGAGCTCTTTCTGTGATGCATTACAGAGCAGCTCAGAAATGCCTTCCCTAATCCATAGAAAGTTTGGACAAAAACGAAAAGCTTTAGGTGAAAGATGACATATATCCTTCAAGTTTGTGATTTTCTTTCTGAAATGTGTCAATAGGCCAGACTTGCATCTTCTGTGATACCCTCTGGTCTAGGAGAAAGTGGACTACAAAACTCGTTTCATTGAAGATTCTAGTCCATAAAGCGAATATAGGAACAAGAGGTATCATAGAATAGTTTGGGTTGGGACTTTTAAAGGTCATCTAGTTCAGCCCCCCTGCAATAAGCAGGGACAGTTTCAACTAGATCAGGTATCTGAACTGTAGTTCAGATAAAGATAGTTCAGCAGTATTTTCTAACCCAGTTAGTTTTCCATAGAATGGTTTGGGATGGAAGGAACCTTAAAGATCACCCAGTTCCAACCTCTGTGCTATGGGCAGGGAAACCTTTCACTAGACTGGGTTGCTCAGGGTGCCATCCAACCTGGCCTTGAAAACTTCCAGGGATGGGGTATCCACAACTTCTCTGGGCAACCTGTTCCAGTGCCTCACCACCGTCACGGTAAGGAATTTCTAACATCTAATCTAAACCTACCCTCATTCAGTTTGAAGCCATTCCTCCTTGTCCTGTCACTACACCCCTCTGCAGCCACAGTGGTTTGTTAGGTACTTCTTCACTTGCTTGTAAAGAAAATGGTCCCTCTTTCATTATAAAGTAATATGGAAAAATGATAAGGGTGTCCTGCACACAATAAAAAACCCAAATCCAACAGGTTCCCAATACCTGAAGGGAGCCTACAAGAGAGATGGAGAGAGACTATTTACAAAGGCATGTAGTGACAGGACAAGGGGAAATAGCTTCCAACTGAAAGAGGGTGGGTTTAGATTAGATACTGGGAAGAAATTCTTTACTGTGAGGGTGGTGAGCCACTGGAACAGGTTGCCCAGAGAAATTGTGGATGCCCAATCCCTGGAAGTGTTCAAGTTCAGACTGGATGAGGCTCTGAGCAATCTGATCTAGTAAAAGGTTGGAACTGGATGATCTTTTAAGGTTCCTTCCAACCCAAGCCACTCTGATTGTAAACATATTTGTCGTTTTTTCTTTTACTTTTGTCACACAACATGTATTTTTAGAAATTGCAATTCGCTGCTGAAAGTCATAAGAAGGCTTTCAAAAATAGTTTTGAATGCAGGAAAATCAACCCTTCCTATACCAAAGCTTTACTGTGGATAGATTTTTATGCAATGTAAGTATGATAAATATTCAGTGTTGCAGACACAGCACCCTTACTGCAGTTTGTCCCGCTGCCTTGATCCAGCAGGCAGGAAGAGGCTCATTGCCACTCCGAAAGCCCATCTGGCGCCATCTGCCTGCCAAGAGCTGAGCAATACGCACATTTATCGGTTTCCATTTATAATTTCAGAAAAGGTGTTTTTCTTGTTGCTCATGACAACAACGTTTGAAGTAAAGGCTTAGCCCAAAATTCTTGATTACTGATTTATAAACATAGAATCTATGTTAGTGACTTAAAATTAACCAGTGCGACTGTTCAATTTTCTCTCCTCGGGGAACAAAGAAGCAGAAAGAGAGGTTTTGCTCATGCACACAGATAAGCCTGTAAAATGTTACTGGTCCGGGTAAGAAGACCTGAGGAAGCATTGATTTTGTAGGTGTTTGTGTACACCTGGTTAAGAACAGCAAGGAGATGGGGTGGCTACCTCCATTGGCAACTCTGCCCCCATGGCTTTGAATGCCTACCTCCTCCCTTTATGCTCCTTTCCCAGTTTGTCAGTGATGAATTCATGGATGGCTCCCTGCTTCACTATTCAAATCCTTTTCAAGCCTGTAATCTGACAAAAAGATCGAGGCAGGAAACAACCCACATTGCAACAAACATAATTTTCCAATCCTGTCCCTGAACCCTCTGATCAGAGTTCCTTGCTCTAAGATATGTAAGTGGTCAGGATTTCTGATTCCTACTCTGGTAAAATGCTCTGTGATCTATGGACAAAATGAATTGAGCATTACATGGATCTGTGCATCTGATTGTGCAGATCTGATGGATCTGTGCATCTAGATGAGCCTCATGGCATGTACCGAAGGGTGTGCTTCAGTATGCAGAGGATACATCTACTAATTACTCTGAAAATCAGAAACTGGAAGAGGGAGAAGAGTGGGTGGTGAGAAGCCAACCTTGTGGGAAAGAGTGAGAGCCTATAGGAAATGGGTTAGCAAATGTGAAAGCATCTCTGCAGGAGACTGAAGGAAAATTTTGAAAATGCCAAGATCCAAAGCCAAAACTTAGTAAGACTGAGAGTGGAGTAGACTGGGAAAGGTTAGATCTGTTCTTGTCTGATCTGTTCATCTCTTCATCCCTACTTAGAAGCTCTTTATCAGTACCAGGCCAAGTCCCACTAGGGTTTTGCAGCCTTTCATTACAACTGATGATCCCATGGGCATTTTTACCTATTTGCCTTCTTGATCTATATTCCTTCCACCTTTGCATCATTCAGGACAACACAGAGCTTGTCAGGATCCCAGTTAAGAGTGTGAATGTCACATGCTTCATGGTTGAAAATGTAGAATATCTCAAGTTGGAAGGGACCCATAAGGATCATCGAGTTCAATTCTCTGCTCGTCACAAGACTACCCAAAACTAAATCATATGACTAAGCGTCGACCAGACTCTCCTTAAACTCTGACAGGTTTGGTATTGTGTCTCTGGAAAAAATCCCAGTGGAAGCTGTGCTGACAGCATGAAGCTAAGCTTTCCAACTTTTCTTACTGGCTTTCTTAACAGCCTTGTGTATTTCTGTAAAGACCACAGACTTAAGTTTACAGCATCAATAATGCTACTGCAAAATTAATTCACAAAATAAATGTGATATTAAATATTTACCAGTCTTGTGTTTTGTTCCTGGTCCTCAGCAGACTGCAGTCAAATGTCCCATGGGTCACTTTGAAGAACCAGGATGAGAATACCTTAGAGAAACCCTGATTAAAATAAAAAACATGATACACTTTACTAAGCTGGTTTAGGTGACAGGTGTAAGGACTTAAATGGAAGATTTACTGCTTTATCCTTCTACCACTTCATACAGCAAAGGGAAGTCCCTCATTATTACCTTCATACTACCAAGAGGAGGTACAGACTAGTGTCCTATTCCGTGTAAAACAATAAAAAGACTGCAGAGCAGCATAATTTTACATTGGTTTCCTATATGTTACAGCAAAGCAGTACTGCTCCACTGCGGAGTTCACTGAACAACAGTGTAAAGACAACTATTCCTCCTTCTCTTCTTCTCTTGAGTCATTCATGCTTACCTTCCACAGTTACACTGGAACTGCTCTACTGCCCATTAGGGTCATTGTCTTGCATATCCTATGGTCACTATGCAATGTCCTGAGTCACTCAGCTCAGCAGCATTAAAATAAACTCCTCTCTTCCCTTCTTGCCTCATGGTGTACTCAGGAGACCTCTCAATCACTTGTCCATTCTTCTTCCCCTTCAGGAAGGGAAAGGGATTAGCAAGAAAAAATGGCACATACCAGCAAGCACCTTATACATCAAAACAGGTGGTTTTGCCTTTGCAGGATATAATATGGTCTCCTGTGCAGGAGAGACACTAGGCCTGGGACTTTCAGTGTGAAAAGGAGGTCTTTTTGCTTGCCTGTCCACAGACAGGCTTTATGAGACTGCGGCTTTCAATTTTGTCAGCCCAAGCTCTGGGGTTTTGTGTTTTTGCTTTATGTATTTTGCAGCTCAGACCCTGCTATCTCTCATTTGATCCACCCACTGTTCAAAGATGCTTATTTTGCATCACTTATGATCAATGAAGAGCAGAGCGTTCTGCACTAGATCTCCAGTATTAACATCTGAGTTCTTTAAAGTCATTGGACTGAACACCCTTAATTTTCACAGTGTGGGGCCATCCACTGTCAGTTGTGATAATTTCATACTAGAACTTCCCATTCAATATTTCCCATTGAACTTCTAGGTGAAGCTTTACACTTTTTTTGCCAGGTGGATTTCAAGCACTGCCGTCTGTCTTTCAGTCACTTTCAGTAGTTCCAGTTCTGTCAGGAGTTCAGTGCTTACCTATTAAAATACCAAAAAGACAAACATTTATTCTGTTATTCATTTCTTGATATCCAGATTTCTACACTAAACAGCAAGATGTCAGTGAAGTACTTTGGATCTCTTGAGTAGCAGCATAAATATCAATTCATTCTTTTAATTTCAGTGCAAATTTACCTAACTATAGCTCAAAATGCTCAGTAAAAGTTGCACATAATCCTATAAAGCTGGTTACCAACAGACATACCACTTTCTGTTCAGTTCTTCTGTCTTAGCTCTGCTCTTTTTTCTCTCCTTTACTGTAGGTCTTTGTAAAGTAAAGGGTGTCAGACAAATGCAGATGACATCTGCAAGCACACCTGCAACCATATGACAGGTTGAAGGATGACTGCCACATACTGCTTTATCTGTCAAGAAAGTTGCAGTGCCTGGCATAGGATTACTATTTGGTTAAGTGAGGTAATCAACCACACTACCAAACAGCCTGTGCCCAAGCCCTGCCTAAGGCTTAACCAAAAAGATAACTATTATAGTTAAAAAATGGTACCTATGGTAAAGCACATCTTCAGGAGATGGTCCTGTTGCAATGAAAGATAAGGCAGGTAGGCAGCCTCACTTCTAATCAACATTGATTAAAAGCAAGTCTGCTGTATATAATGTGGTTGGTTTTCCTTCAAACAACAGAAACACTTTTGGCTGGTCATAGGAAGAACATGCAGATGAAAAGAGATCATTCTTATTATGCCCAGGCCTGTCCAGTCACTCCAAAGTGTTATAACTCCAAAGTGTTTGCTTGAGCAAAGTTCACTTTCACTAAAAGGACAGTGCTAAGGTGCATTTTATCATTCCCATCTTTTCCGCTAAAACTAGTCCAAATTCAGTAGTGACTCACAGCCCTGCCACACTGACGTCAGTGGAGAATTTGGCTTATTATGTGTAATAACTAGGCTTCAAACTGAAATCTGCTATCTCTTGAAAGGTGTTTTCATATGGGTGCTCTGTTAATTGTGGGTTGGTTTATGACTGGTACAAGTTAGATTTCTATTTGAGCCTAAAAAGACCAGTGAATCACAAATCTTGCAAAGACATGTAAGAAGAGAAAGTAAGTCAATTTGGCCTACCTATTTTGACCCTCAAATTTTGTCTGCAGATGTTAACATTGTACACAGAACCTGTGTACAGGATCTGAGAACAAACATTGTCTATCATTCTCTGCACGACAGTTTCCTGTCAGCCACAGAGGACTGTAGGTGCCTGATCTGCCCCCTTCACAGTGGAGATGGAGAGCGTGTATTTCAAACCTATATGCTTCATATTATTTTTTCTCAGGGAATACAGAGAACACAAAGAATCTCCCCCATAATAAGCACAACTCTTGCACTCTTGGAAATACGTTCTTTTTGTGCAGTGGTCTCAGAGAGCAAGAACCACAGAGTTCAAAGTCAGAAGGGGGTAGATTCTTCAGGGTGTAGACCCTGTTTCAGCCCACCCTACTTGCAGCAAATGTGCCCTGCAAAGACTCTCCACTTCGTCTAACTTCAACATTCTTACAAGCATGGTTGTTAGTAACTGGTCTAGCAATAGCTAAGCCAGTCCTGTAGAGCTTAACTTACCTTTAGCCATGATCAAGGATACTGTGTAGATGGCATCGGTCACTACAGAACTGTAGTTATCTGTATCATCTCCGGAGAAACATTCTGACAGGAAAGAAAAACACAAACAGAGAAAGCGATAAGCAAAACCTCCAGGTAGGCTGGGGTGCTAGGGAATGGATACGGCAAAGCTGTTAGTGAATTCCTCTTTTTATTTGTGTTTACATAAGTGGTTTTTTAATCACTAACAAAACTGACCTGTTGAAAATCCAGAATGTCTGAGAACAGAAATTCTGGGACCAAATCCAATTCCCCCTCTTCCCTAAAGATCCTTCAGAGCCTTCCCAAAGCCCCAGAAACAGACAGAAGTCTTCCCACTCACAGCGATAGTATTTTGGATCAGATACCTTCTTGGCCTAAGGCAGCAGAAGGAAGCCATCCTTCTTCTCAGAGACATCCTTTTATTCTGATGCTCTGCACTGGAAGCAAGTATTCCTCCTGCACTGCATAAGGAATACAGAGACCAGAGGAGAGTTGATGGAAGTTGTTGGACTTAGAAGTCCAGAGTACTGTAGGAAAAGAAAAAGAGAGTTTGATCTGCCCTAGCTGGAAGATTTGTAAACAAAGGACTGGCTGAGAGAAGAGGTGAATTAGGGTGAACTAAGAATTAAGGAAAGAGGAGAGGAAGGGACAGAGAAAGGGAAGAAAAAGAACAGAAGAAGGACAGAATTTTTTCAGCCACAGGACAACACAAATCAAACAGGGCTGAACTGGGACATGTGCCCTGAGAAATATAATGAATTACTAAGATTTAGCATTGGTTTTGCCTGAATGGCACTTGAAGGGAAGACACTGATCTGTTGGAGCGAGTCCAGAGGAGGGCCACTAAGTTGATCAGAGGGACAGAGCACCTCTCCTGCAAAGAAAGTCTGAGAGAATTGGGATTGTTCAGCCTGGAAAAGACACGGCTTCAGGACCTAATTGCAGCAATCTGTACAATTCCAGTATCTGAAAGGAACTTACATGAAAGAGGGAGAGAGACTATTTACAAGGGCATGTAGTGACAGTACAAGGGGGAATGGCTTCAAACTGAGAGTAGATTTAGATTAGAAAAAAATTCTTAACTGTGAGGGTGGTGAGACACTGGAACAACTTGCCCAGAGAAGCTGTGGCTGCCCCATCCCTGGAAATGTTTAAGGTCATGTTGGATAGGGCTCTGAGCAACGTGATCTAGTGAAAGGTGTTTCTGCCCACAGCAGGGGGATTGGAATTAAATGATTTTCAAGGTCCCTTCCAACCCAAACCATCCTATGACTCTATAACACACAAAATGCATCAGGCCTCACTACGCTAAGCACAAAACTATGTAACAAAAATAATGGTTCCTGCTCTGATGCTCTTTTTCTGCTCAGAAACACCACCCTATACACACACAGCAGTATTTGAAAGTGGCACTTCTGCAGTAGGCTGACTGTGAACAGGGACCTTTTTATTTTTGCTGAGGAATACTACAGTGCCTAAATTTTTTCTTTTTTTATGGTTTTTAGTGTGGGAATAAAAAAATAAGCCTATGGCACAAGCTTCTTAAAAATACTGTCAAAAACATTCTGGATCCTTCTTCTATTGGTACCCACTCTCTCTACTCCATGTTACATTACGGTTTAGCTTGGAATATTGCTTTGTCTCCTAAAATTAAAGAAGAAACATTTAAATTAATGAATGAATGAGTGAAATGGAACAGGGGCCTGTTACCTACTTTCTCTGTTTGAGTTTATTTTAAATCATGTTTTCCTTTCCTGTCTGCTTTATAGAAGAGATTAGATTAACCTTGCTTTGTTTTACTTATTGTACTTCTTGCAACTTTACATCCATCACAGATACCACTCTGGAATGAAATTTTTTCATTAGCAGCTCTCTGCACACTGGCAGGAATGATTTGTGACTTCTTCTGATAACATACTACAAAAAATAAAGACTCATATGATCTTTCTGTCACTTTAGACAGTCACAGATCTGTCATATGGGAGAGATTATACATGATGGAAAGGCCTATTTACTTATGCATTAAAGGTCACATTCTTCCAGCCCCAGCCAAATAATTTGATCATGAGTTTTGCATAAATAAGAATTGCTGTATTTAGATCAATAAGGACAAGTTTTCAGCAGCTAAAATGAACATTCCTACTGATCTGACTGATCCATAAAAAATCTCTAAAAACAGTGAGGATGGAGATAAGTAACTGCAGTTTGTACCTGGTTTTGTTTACCACTCTTCTGTTACAGGGGATGACAGATTGTATTTCCTTGCATGAGATGAATGAATATATCTAAGAGCACCTGAAAATACAGTCAGTTATTGGCAAGTACTAGCTAAAGGTCTTTCCCCAGAAATAATTGTTACTCACCCCTGTGTGTTGTCAATGGACAAGGTTTTCCCACAAATTCAGGAATGCTTTCTCCAGCAAGCATCTCAAAGGAGCACGTCAGCATGCTGAAAGACTCCAGTAAGGCAGAAGACTTCCTAGAAACAACTTGTTTAGTTGGGGAAAGATTATGTTACTTAAGCAGAACAGTGAGGTACTGTTTGCAGGATTTATTTACCAGGAGTGGGAAAGAGTGGATACAATAAGAAGTCCCGAAACATAAAGTTACACAGGGAACTGCTCATCACCTAAAACTTTCTGAGAGAGAAAGCTTTGTGCAGTAGGAAGAGTGTCTGTAGGAGGCTGCTGATCAATTCCCTGCTTTTTTTTCCTGACTTTCTGAAGGATTTTGGGCAAGTAACTTGCTCTCTCTGTATCTATCTTGTCATCTACGCAATGAGAAAATTGGGCTGCCTTGCTGCAGGAATGCTGCAAGGTGCTTTGATGTTAGATGTCATTCAAGAAAGGCATCAAAACTGGATGTATCCCTAAGTCCTATTAGAACTTACTCTGTTCTGCACAAGCTGCACTAAGCACTTCAGTGCTGCTCATGTCCTGTGTCTAGACAAATGCCCATAGTTTAAGACAAATCCTCTTTCTTGAAACTGTTTTGTTTCAGGAGGCTTCAAAGAGCTTCATTTTTCTATCAGAAGGAATCCATTTAGTTTGTGTTTATATTAACTAGTTCTTGAGTTCAGGTAAAGCTATTTTTTTTCCAGTTAGACTGACCAGCAAGGAGTAGGCCCTGAATACACTCTGCTGGGGGAGGAACCACTGTATAAGAAAAATTGCCTGTAATAGTAAGCAATGAACTTTTGTAAGCCTCCTCAGATCGCAAGATTTCCTGTTTCTTGACGAGACTGGAACCAACTTCCAGAGCCTGAAAGGTTGCACTTGAAGGATGTGACACTGTCTGTTACTGCTTATCACCAAGACTCAACTTGCACATACCTCGACTGTGTGCAAGAAAGAAAACAAAATGATAATGTAGATAGGCCTCTGGTCTCGGGAACGCAAGTCCACCCATGGGCATTCTGCAGAGAGATTAATTCACTCATCACTAACAGTGTGGCTATTGCACAATTCACACGGCTGTAACATCAACATTAACAGCATCAGCAGACGTGTGCCAGGAGAAGCAGATGTCAACAAAAGACCTGTCAGTACCACTGAAGTACACACAGCAAAGAAATGGTACAAGCAAGTTATAATTTTAGTTTTAGTTATGGAAAACAGAGTTGAACAAGCTTGACTAACTCTTTTGTAGGTAACTGAGTCTTCCATCCACCATACTTGTCATGGCCGTTTTACTCCTGGTTTTAAGTGTCTCAAGGAGCTATACTTCAGAGTGGTACTTTACAAGGTTCCTTTCTTGGAAAGGTAAGGAAAGGAAAAGCAAAGCATATATGAGTCTAGAGGCATTGAACTCACATAACCCATTTCCACCCTGCCTGCCCACAGCCAGAGGACACAAAATATTACAACATTCTTGAAAATGTCTGTTTATGCATATAATACATTCTTGAGAATATCTGTTTTACCTGTTTATCCCAGCTGCTAAGTTTCTGATCATTCATCCTCACGGAAAGGAGCTTTCAAGACCCTTCTTGTGTCCCTCAGCTCACATGAAGTCCTGTAGATTGTCAAATTCCTAGGAAGATTCCTGGATCCCTTTACACTGGACAAATATGGTTTTGTGTAGTGCAAAATTTAAATACATACTGGCCTCTTGTGGGCTATGTTGTTACATCCTTTACAATGGCCTCAGCAGTTTGCCATTTTTGGAATAACAAGACAATAAAACTTCAAGCATGAGGTTAATAGGAATAAACCTTCTGTAGGTCAAAAGGATACCTTTTTATTTAAAAATGAACATTACCTCCTAGATTTTCTTGTGATTAATTTTGACACAATTTCTAAACTTTGTTCAAAAGCAGACTACTGAACAATTTACCAGTCTTGTTTTTCATGTTAAAATCAAAACATGTGGGTCCAGGTTTCAAACAGTTAAACATCCAAGAAATCCTGCTGTGGTGTTCAAGTCATTCCCCAATGCTCCTTTCACACCTCCAGGCTTTAGCTTTTTTTATTTTATAGCTGTACATGCAGCAATTTTTATCATTTCCAAGTCCAGCCAGTTCATTCAGTTACTGAAGCAGAGATTAGGTGCTCATAACTTTAGATTACAGAGGTCATTTTTTAATTGGTTCTCTTCCATTCCTTAATAAGCCTGAGATTCTGTCACCCTTCTTCCTATGGAGAAGGACTTCATTCCCAATGAGCAAGGTACTTTCTCCAGGAGGGAATGAATTACAGATCTCAGCCCATGTATTTAGATCTCTTTCACTTTACTAGTGTTAATCACAGCAGTGCTGACATAGTGCAGGTACAGGAGATTGTTTTTCACGTACACAGGCCTATCCATTCTGAAGGACACAAACCACATATCTTGTTTGCCACAAAGGCTCAAAAATATAGTGGCAATTAACTGCTTAACTGCCCACATTTGATTTCTTTTTGGAACAGAATGCTGTTATCTATTCCATATTTATGTTAAATTCATTTGAAAAGGGAGTCTAGTGCAGCAGGCACTTGGGTCATGCTTTGCAAAACACAGGAACTTATAAAACCAAAGAACATAAAAATCTAGCCAACTTCCATAGGCTGATGGGAATGATTACAGGGAACTCTGGAAAAAGCAATGGTCACCCCACCCTTCCACCCCCTCCAGGAATATACCACCTTTTTCGGATGATTTTAAGGGGATTTATACTAGTCTACAAAAGAAAGAGGAAGCTGAAAAGTTTCACAAAAAACAAGGAAAAACATCCAGAGTTTGAAACATTGTCAACTTTTCCAGTGAGTAAAAAATACCACATATAGACAGCCAAAATAAACACATGCTGTAGTTCACAGGCTAAAGAAGGAATCCAGCAAGACAGACACGCTGCTCCCTTGCCTAGAAGCTTGTGTTCTTATTAACACAGACCAAATCAGAAGTGCGTGGAAATGGGATTGGTCATGTTGTAAAGTGGATAAAGTATTATTAATTGCTTGTCTAATAAATGTATCAAGAAACCAACCTGCATTTACCTCTTCAGTATTCT